TAAAGTTGAAAAAGTATTTAAAAGTATTTTAAAGATTTCATAAAAGTTTATTAAAGTTGATACAATTTTATGAATTTTTTTTCAAAATTTATGAAGGCTTGTAATAGTTTCGAAAATATCATTTTCGAATTTAATTTAATTTTTAAAAGGTTTCATCTAACTAGACTAGAAATTTCAATTGGTTTGAATTAAAATTAAAATAATTTATAACCTTTTATAATCTTTTAAAAACTTAATGTTTATACATTTTCATGTGTCAAAAATCCGACCTTTCATTAAAGTCTATAATAGTGTATAAAAGTTTTAGAAAGTTAATTAAAATTAAATTAAAAATTTCAACTGGTTTTGAATTCATATAATTACAACTTACAACTCTTGGTAATCTTGTAAAAGTTTTTATAAACTTTTATAAATTTTTACGTGTCAAAAATCCGACCTTTTATTAAAGTCTACAATAGTGCATAAAGGTTTTCAAAAGTTTATGATAATTATTCACTAAATCGATTTCCATCGTGGGTTGATGATTAATTTTTTTTATTCTTCTCTCTTTGTAGAAACCCGCAACATACTGACTTACGACAGGTTCATGCAGAATATGCTCGTCCACATGGTGTACAAGTTCTATGTGAAGCAAGAGTCCATGGATCACTTGCGCGAAAGACGCCGGGAGCTGAGGCGAGGCGTATGGGGATCTCACGCCGACCGGATCGACAGCGAACTCAACTGGCAGTTCCTGGCGAACATGGCGTTCGAGGCCGCCCAATTGAAGCGCATCGAGGTCAAGGAGGGCCTGTCGCTCTACGACCTCTGCCGGATGGACCATAACAAGGGCTCCATCGAGATGAAGGACAGATGGAGCGATTGGCGCTGTCCCGAGCTGCACAAGCTCGATTACACGAGGCTGAGCGTCAAGAGATACCTGGCCAACTGCCGTATAAGGCCGCATCTGGAGTCGTGCGCGGCCGATATGATACAGAACCACTTGCAACGCCATAATGTCTACGTGACTTGCTCCAGGTTCGACGCGAGCGTAAGCAACGAAATGATGTTGGGTTGGTGCTCGAACGCGGACGAGAATAATTTAATCGTACCCGAGACGCCGAGACAACGACAGGAGTGGAAAATGTTCCAAATCGGGTGGAACGACGGAAAGAAAAAATGGGATGTACAGGCTGTGAAGTCGAGTGAAAATCCATGACTGGGATCTTTTTTTACCGACAGAATTTAGTATTAATGATATATATATTTTTTTACCACGCTGTTTACAGCACCTAGTCATTTATACTTATTCCAGAACGCTTAGGTTTAACGAGCGAATTAGGTACTTATCACAGGTATAGGGTAATCACAGGTTTAGCCACCGATGCAGAGATGTTAGTTTTAATCTTCATTTTAATAGCGCACGTACAACACGGTGGGAAACAAAGTTCGCGCGTTGTTAATTGATTGTAGAAAAATAGCACGCTTTTTTTTGTATAAATATATGAAAATATATATTGTTTGAATGGCGCGTCGAGTTTCAAAAGCTCTCGAAGATGATGGAACGATACGCTACATAAATTTATTTGGCTTGTAAGTTTGCTTTGTGTGAAATGTTTGAAAAATAAATTGTGAAAAACAGTTTCGTTTCTTTCGTTACTATCCTCTTCCTTGACTTCATAGCATAATTCGAAGGTCGTATAAAATATATTTCTTTATATTGTAAGGGTTGAAAAATTAATTGCTGCACCCATTGCTACGTGATAACGGCAAGAGACTCAAAATTCATTTTTCATGGAATTGAAGCATAAACCTCCAAAAAATTCACCAAATCATTTTTGATATTATTGTTTTTAAAAAATTTTTATATGGTCAAGAAAATGATGTTGGAGTCTTATTAAAACGCTGATTGTACTTTTAAAGATCTTTAATTTGGTTCCAATTAGAAACACTTACATAATTTAAGAGCTAATTTATACAAAATTTTAAGATTTGATCAAATTTAAAGTATCAAATCTAGAATCCTTTACTGGAAATTGTTTTGTATTATGTAAACTGTTCATAAGAATTTTCATTGTCATTCATTGCTCAGAAGAAATGCTCAACATGAATAAACCAATATATGACCATTTAAAACTTTTTAAAATACAATACTATTTTTTGGCTTGTTTTAAGAAAATTTTCCATGAAAATTATTCCAAGCAATTTAAATAACCCGAAAATAAAAATTTTCTGTTATATAAAAATTTAGATCTGTTTACAACCACTTTAATACAATAGTAGCACTTCCGACCTTCACCACCAGATGGCGAATACCTTTAACTGTATATCTGCAAGTGGAAAAGTCAAAATGATTGTATATGGCAGAGTTTGATATTTTCTTTTCGATATCTAAATTTCTTAATAAAACATACGCATTATTGTTTATAAAATAAAATGAAATATTTCAATGCAATTATCATTTTATAGTTCTAATATAGAAAATTAAAAAGTTACCTTTGAAAGTGTGTTTAAATGTCTATTTGCACGAATTTTATAGGGTAAAAAAATTAATCATTTATGTCAAAGAAACTTTTTTGTTCAACAAGAACTGTAGCCACCAAAAAGTTGAGCGTTTCCGCCAGAGACTTTTAAAATATGAGGCACACGCTGAAAATGGAAATGATAATTTTTCGTTGTACACGTGAAAAGTTTAAAATATCAAAACTCGGATTCTTGTATGTAGGTAAAAAACTCCAGCAGTTTAAATTAAATTCAAACAAATATTCAAACGTATTGAGCAAAGTAACGTATAGAGTAAAGTAAGTTAAGTAATTTAATAAAGTCAATTAACCAAGCGAAGTGATTAAATACTGTATGACATATGAGACTCATTGCTTTCAAAAAGTGTAGGGCTTCCAATTATCAGCTGCAAACTCGTACGGTACGCATCGTATACAATTCACAGTCCAAAAATCACACAGCATCGTCGTAGCCGCGCGGTCGATCCGCACGCCGAGAAAGAGAGAAAGAGAGAAGCACATGCAGATGATAATTATACTTATTAATAGCTCGCGCGAGATCCAACGCGTCTATCTAATCGTTGAATTTCATAACTGAAAAGCCTCTCTTCGTATAGGTGGATGATTGGAAATCCCGCAAAGACGCGCGAAGAGACGCGAAGGGGAGGGAGGGAAACGAAACACAGAAAAAACAACAACATCGTTCTCATCGATTAATAACTATTCGTATACACACAAGTACCGCGCGTTTATATATATATGGGTCAGATTCAGCATTTTTCAAATAAACCTGCGGGCGAGGTTCACGGATTTTCCTGAAATTTTGGTATGTTATTGTACATGATAAAAAAGTGCCAAAACCAAAATTTTGGACCCCCTCCCCCCTCCTACCCCCCTCCTCCCCTATAGACGTCCATTTTCTATCTATATTTTTTCTGAAGGCCTGAAGCTATTAAAAAATCTGAAAAAATTCATGAAGGTACTTTTCAACAATCCAAACAATCTTGAATTTTTTCAGATTTTTCGAGTGCTTCAGGCCTTCAGAAAAAATCATTGAAAATTTAAATTATTTTATTTTCGGTGAAATGGTTCGATGTACCAAACCGGAGTATTTTTTTCTGAATTCTGACGTCAAAAAACGATTCCTTGAATTTTTTCAGAATTTTTCATTCATGTCCATTCAGCCTAGAGCTGAAAAACTGCTTTTTTTCACGAAAATAATTTTTTTAAGGCGCTACGGAGCCTCAAAAAATCTGGAAAAATTTTTTTCTCATTTTGTTCATCAAAATACATAATCTCAAATTTTTTCAGATTTTTTAATTGAAGGCGATAGCGTCTGGAGCCGAAAAACGTTATTTTTAACAAAAAAGGTTCCTGGAACCCGATGGTTCCGGTAAAAAAATTTGAAAAAATTTTTTTTGAATTCCTTGTCAAATTTTAATAAATTTTGACCGTCGCAAAATTTCGATTGGAGCTTCCTAGCTCATTCTAGAGCATAACAAAGATTAATGCGAAATTCTGAAGACATCTGAAAAAAATTTAAATATGATGAATGTCTTCAGAATTTCGCATTAATCTTTGTTATGCTCTAGAATGAGCTAGGAAGCTCCAATCGAAATTTTGCGACGGTCAAAATTTATTAAAATTTGACAAGGAATTCAAAAAAAATTTTTTCAAATTTTTTTACCGGAACCATCGGGTTCCAGGAACCTTTTTTGTTAAAAATAACGTTTTTCGGCTCCAGACGCTATCGCCTTCAATTAAAAAATCTGAAAAAATTTGAGATTATGTATTTTGATGAACAAAATGAGAAAAAAATTTTTCCAGATTTTTTGAGGCTCCGTAGCGCCTTAAAAAAATTATTTTCGTGAAAAAAAGCGGTTTTTCAGCTCTAGGCTGAATGGACATGAATGAAAAATTCTGAAAAAATTCAAGGAATCGTTTTTTGACGTCAGAATTCAGAAAAAAATACTCCGGTCTGGTACATCGAACCATTTCACCGAAAATAAAATAATTTAAATTTTCAATGATTTTTTCTGAAGGCCTGAAGCACTCGAAAAATCTGAAAAAATTCAAGATTGTTTGGATTGTTGAAAAGTACCTTCATGAATTTTTTCAGATTTTTTAATAGCTTCAGGCCTTCAGAAAAAATATAGATAGAAAATGGACGTCTATAGGGGAGGAGGGGGGTAGGAGGGGGGAGGGGGTCCAAAATTTTGGTTTTGGCACTTTTTTATCATGTACAATAACATACCAAAATTTCAGGAAAATCCGTGAACCTCGCCCGCAGGTTTATTTGAAAAATTCTGAATCTGACCCATATATGTGTATCGCCACGGACAATGTTAAAACGTTTGCGCCGCTGCTACCGAGGCGGAAATTCTTATCGGGATGAAAATATCATCGACTTTTTTTCTCTCTCTCTCTTTTTATTTTTGAATGATTATGATGTACGTATGCATCGTAATATTATGTGCGCGCCAGAATCGTCAAGATTATATTCGTACATGTATGTATCTCCATCCTCTCGGCGCATCGCGAGCAGCAGCAGCAGCAGTGTTCAGTCTAGCGCGTGGCTCCGACCCGAAAACGTTGGCAAACAAGATATAGTTTGTATACACGAATAAAAGACAGCAGTATTCAAACAACAACAATAACGACAACATGAGTCTGGGCGCGGAGGTGGACTCTTGGGACGACATCGAGGTGTCCAAGTCCGAGGACGTGCGCGACTTCAATCAGCCGCAGACGGCGCCGAGCTATCACCGAAGCGCGAAGAAGTCGTACATACCGCAGCGTGCGTACAGGAAGTACCTGACGAATCCCTGGATCGTCGGGGTCGGTGTCGCTTTACTAGCTGCGATTCTAATTTTGATAATAGTCCTCAGCACAGTGACACTGGGTATGGCAACGACGCGAGCTTTAATTATTACAAAATTTAATTTCTTAATACGTGCCTATTTTTACGCAGGCAGCGACGGTACAGAACCTTCGGAGCTGAGACCCAAGCCCGGCGGCACCATCCGCGATGGCCTGTATCTCTTTGGCAACGGTAGCCTGTGGAACGCCTGCATCAACGAGACCAACAACAACGGAGGCGAGGCTGTGCTGCGTCGCGTGCGCCAAGCCGAGGACACACCCTACGACTTCCTCGACTCGGCCACGACGATCTTCGGCGTCAACAATTCCATCCTCTCCGTGTCCAGCAACAACGATGACTCGGCCGCCGAGGTGCTGTTCCAGGACCCGAGATTCCAGCCGCAGTCGGTGGCGGTGGATCGGCTCACGGGCAAGGTCTACGCCCTGGACAAGCAGGCCGGCACTCTGCTGGTCGTAGACGTGGCCAGTCGCAATTTCACGATACTGATGTCGGATCTGCTGGCGCCCCACGAGATCGTCCTCGATCCGGCCCGAGGCGAGATGTTCGTACTGCAGTTGGCGACTTCGGTGAGTGTGCAACAACAATATTATATATTTCCTGGTAGAAATGCTGCATCAATCAATCCTTGACTTATATACAATTATTTTTACTTTACCGCTTGCAGATTTTAAGATAAAGGTATACTCGCCACCTAGCGGTGGAGGCTGAATAAGTAATAACTATCGAATCTCGAATTAGTTCAGAATTGTTAAATTCCCAAATACTTTGAACATTTAGTTGTGAAAGTACTTTTGGTCATCAAACCAATATATCTCACTGTTGAACTTTTCTACCGTGGTTTACATTTACGATACGAAAAAAAAAAAAAATTATCAATGCACTGTACACTGTCTCGTTCTTATTTATCAACGATTGCTCCAAGGCAATTGGAAAAATACGATCGAGAAGCAGCCGCTCAAGGTTCTTCCTACGTATTAATATTGCACGCGCGCGTATCTTCTTTGAAAAATTTAAAAAAATACAATATTGATAAACACGCTACAATGCTGCGCTACTGCAGATCGTTCGGGCCAACATGGACGGCAGCGCGCGTCGCAACATCGTCAGCTACATGAACATCAGCGCGCTGGCGATCGACCGGGGCCGGCAGCGGCTCTACTGGATCAACGACGACAGACAGATCCAGAGCGCCGATTATCACGGCAACGACCGGGTGACCCTCTTCACGGACCACACGAGGATCGCGAGCCTGGCCGTGCACGGGGACAGGCTCTACTGGCTGTGGCCGGCCACCGCCGGAGAATCGAGCAACAACTCGACCCTGTGGCGATGTCGGCTGTCCGCGAACGACACCTCGGCCTGTAGCGAGCACACCGTCCAGCCGATTCCAGGTAATTTATATGATTGTGGTAAAGATTTAATTAAGAAAAATTCACGAACGAATCGATTTGAATTAAACTTCATGATCTCTAGCTTCTCAGGGTTGTTCATTATCCAGATGGTAAAGATATCCTCCGGGCTACTTTACTGTCTGAAGCACTAACCACCCAGAAAAACTGAAGATTGTGATGTTTCATTTAAATCATGAAATTTAAATTTAAATCAAGTTTAATTTCGATATATCTAAATTGATTCGTAAATTAAACGCTTTCATTGCCATTCATCAATGTGATTATTATCATACTTTTTTTTCGATTAGTAGTTTTGTGGAATGAATAATTCTTTAAATAGATAAATATAAATAAAAGTAACTTTTGTTGTATATAAATTGGTTCTGATATATATCTTCAACCAATGAACGATGAAATAGTAATAGCGAAAAAAAGTAGAAATCATGTAATTTTCGAAGTAATGAGAAAATAATTATAATTGAATTTTCTCAATAAATACTATTTGTTTTAAAAATATTGTAACTTAACGGACAAATTCGAGCAATACAGTATCAAATATGTTGAAATTAAAAAAAAATTAATAATCGATTAAAATTAATAAAACACATATCATTTTTCTACAAAATTGAGTAATTGCATTGAAATCCTTGGAAAATTTTCGATTAACCACCTTACTGTTTAGTTGGATTTTTATCGATTAGGGGGGGGGGGGGGGGGGGNAAAGTACTTTAAGGGGGGGGTATAGTTAATTTTTAGTTATTTTTGCTCATTTTTGAGATTTATTTTTTGAAATCTAGTAATGAAAATGTAGTCATATCGATTTGTACACTAAAAAGCATCACTTCAAGAGTACTCAGCTAAATTTTTGTTGAAAAATATTGAAAAATGAGCCTGGGGCAACGGTTTGAAGAAAACACGTCGAAAAATGCGGTGTACACGATGACTCGTCGCAGAATCATCAGAAACAAGCCTAATGACATTTTTTTATTAGTTTAGAGGATTCTAAAGGTACTGACGTCGAGTTTTTGAAAATATTTTTATTATTGAAAATTTGGCGTGACTTTGAAGTTGAAAAAATGAGAAAAAATCGAAAAAGTGCACTTTTTTTCGGAAAATTGTTAAAAAAAAATGAAAATTTTCCCAAAATGAAAATATCTCGACGTCACTACCTAGTAAAATAGTTAATAAATAACGGTGTAAAATTTCAAAAAGATCGGTCAATAAGTTTTTGAGATGCTGTACACCGTCTTTGAAAATGCTATTGTTCAGGAAACGCGTTTAAAGATTTTGAGGTCCAGTCCTTCTTCCTTTTAGCACGAGCATTAAAATGGCCATATCTTGGTTAATTTTGCTCCGATTGGCTTACAATTTTAACTGAATACTCTTGAATGTATATAGAATCGAATAAGACAGTAAAAAAAATATCGACAATTTTTGCGAAAAATACTATACCCCCCCCCTTAAAATCAATTGGATGTATAATTTTTCAAATCCCAACGCTCGCACTGCTGTGTAATTTACATTGGCTCACTCTGAAAAAAAAAATCCTATAGGTAGATCTATAGCAAAAATGGACAACAGAAAAATATATATTGCTGCATTTATCCTTGATATTTCATTCAGAAAAACCAAAACAAAAAATGATTATTGATCTTTCCAGGCCTAAGCAACGTCACGTCCATCCGGTCGTTCTCGTCTCCTCCCTCCAGCACCAACGCCAGCAGCAATCATCCCTGCTCCGTGCAAAACGGCGGCTGTCAGCAACTCTGTCTTCTATCGTCACCGAGCCGGGCCGGCCGTAGCTGCGGCTGCTACCTGGGCCATCGTCAGAAATCCCAGGACTCGCGCGGCTGCGAGCCCGCCGACGTGTTCCTCCTCTACGTGGCCAACTCGTACGCCCGTGCCCAACTGGCCGAGGAGAGCTTCGGCTGGGCAGGCGTCGACGTTATACTGCCCACGAAATTGAGCCTACGGCCGCTCCAGCGCAAGAGCGTGCTCGACTTCGAGTACGACTGGTTCAACGATGCGCTGTACTTCAGCGACGACTCCAACATCTACGCGACGAGTCTCAGGGGCTGGAGCGAGCAGAGGACTTTGTTGACGGTGGCGAGCGGCTACTACTACGAGGACATGGCCTACGACTGGGTGTCGGGCAACGTCTACTACACCGAGGCGTCGCTGAGTCCGGGCAACAAGCACCGACTGATGATGTTCAGCGAGCGCAATCCGCGCGATTATCGGCGCACCGTGGCGAGCTTCAACTACTACGACGAGTTCGGCGTGAAGGGCGCCCCGTACTCGACGCTGATGGACTCGATACGCGGCGTGCTGTACTTCTCGGCGGCGGACACGAGCGGACGCGACCGCGTGCGCAACATCTACGAGCTGGCGGAGAACGGCACGAGGCTGGACGGCCGGCTCACGGCCAAGTACGTGCACGAGCATCGCATCCTGGCGCTGGACCAGTCGGCCGGCCGCATCTACTGGATCTGGGAGGCGGAGCGGAATCGGGCCACGCTGAAGTGGACGGAGACCCGGGAGCCGGGCGTGGTGACGCGCCGACTCGACGTGGACGTGGACGAGCCGCTGCGCAGCGTCGGGGTGCAGGGCGACTGGCTCTACCTCGGCACGGCGCGCAAGATCAGCCGCGTGAACAAGGACACGGCCGAGGACGCCGAGCGTCTGGTGCCGCGCTACGTCGAGCGCGCCGGACTGATCATCAGCGGCGGTCCGTACGAGAGATCGAGCCAGGACATCGACGGTTTTCGCGTGATCGACGTGTCGAGGTCGTTCGCCGGCCAGGCCGAATTTTTGAGGGACATCTGCGCCGAGTCGAGGTGCCAGCAGATCTGTTACGCGGGCGACAGGTCGCAGGATCTCCAGGCGATGACCAAGCTGACGGAGCCGAGCTGCGACTGCGCGGATAATCTGAGACTGAGCGAGGACGGAGCTTGCTTTTGAGGAGCAGCTGGCGGTGGTGGTGCTGCTGCGTTGTGTGTATATATTTTTTGTCGGTAGATCGTAAGAATAATAAAAAAGAAAAGAAATATATATTTTTGGGATGTTGCATTTTATTTTTCAAAATCTTTACAAATTATGGTAATTTGAATGTAATCGTTACGCACGATATTCTTTATGATTGATTGTCGGATAAAGTATAATAAATTACTTTTTAATTAACTTAGAATTTTAAAAGATCAATAGAAAAAATGATAGTATATAATAAAATATTTAAATTAATTTGAATTACATAGTAACTATGATTGTTTTATAAATGATAATTTTTCAATTAATCTCACCGATTAGTAGATTAGATAATTAATAGAGATTTTTGACAATCAAACATATACTTTGATGTTCATTTATTTAGTGTACCGTGTGTCTCTTGAAACTTTGCTTATGTGCGATTATCTTTCCGCGCGTCTCGCATGCGTGGGTGATGCCGTCTGTAGGCGAGTACATTCCGAATTCTCTATAGTTCGATTTCTAATCGAGGCTTTTCATTTTCATTAATTTTAATGGTGTAAATATGAGAAAAGTCATTTGGGTTGAATTTTATTTTTTTTTTTGTGTTTGTGTAATCATTTTAACAATTTTTTTTAAATAATCGACAAAAAAATTTTTATTTAAATTACATAGAAAATGTGCAAACATTAAATAACATCAGAATAAAATGAAACCTTACTAATAGCATATGTTATTTTTTAAATTTTTTTGGAGCTCTCTCCACGCTTCCTTCGCTCTGACATTCCATCATACTTGTTGAATTTTTCTTACGCTCCTCGTCATTTTGTCTATCAGCCACCAAACAAATATTATATAAATCTTGGTTTGTCAGCTCCTCGATGATCATGTCACAGCAGAGAATCGGCAGTCGATAGTGTATCAGTTTCCAGAAAGGATCCAGTGTCCAACGTTGAAAAAATCTTCTCAACATTTTCTCGCACAGATGCGCGATACAAGCCCTTGCCTTGTTGCTTTTTGTGAGCCACCAACTATTCGTCCATTTCCGAATGTTTGGCTCGTCCGTATGCGTGAGTCGTTTCACCAACTCTCTGGGTTGCAGCCGAATCAAGTCGTAGAGGGACAGACCCGAGCGTATCATTGATTTTTTCGCCTCGATCGCGAACTCCTCGTCGTCGTACCAATATTCGGGGCGATTCGTCGCCGACTTCGCGACGAATCCGTACTTGGCGAATAATTTCATGAGCGTCCAGGCGTCGCTTCGATCCAGCTCGTAGCCTCTCTTCTCGAGATGTTCGAGGCAGGCCACGAAGCCGGACGACAGATTCAATTTATCGAGGAGAAATTCTACTTTAGATACGTACCGCCATTTGAATCTGGCATCGATGGAGCTCTCGGAGGGAAAAACGAAGTTGGACAGATCGGCGCCGCGATCCAAGAGTAAACCGACCTGATTCGGCTTGAGATTCGCCACGGCCAATTGTAGCGGTGTCAGGCCTAGCTTGTCTACGGCGTCGACCTGCACCGTCGCTCGACCGACCTCGTCGACGATCTCGAAGAACAGCTTCATCGAATCGTCGTCTTTTTTTAGCCGCGAAATGACGTGCAAAGCAGTCGATCCCTCGTCGTCGGCCAAATTTGGGCTGGCGCCTCTTCGCAGCAGCAATCGTGAGTGTCCATGACCGCAGTCCAGAGCGTAGTGCAGCGGTGTCTTGCCCCGCTCGTCCACGGCGTCGATCAGCACCGTCCGCCCAAGAGCGTCGATAATCGCAAAGAACAGCTCCGCCAAGTTATCGTGATGCTTCTTCTCGTAAACGATATGCAGAGGAGTCAGTCCTCTCTCGTTCGGCAGATTCGGACTGGCGCCTTTCGTCAGCAGCAATTCGACTGCCCTCTCGTCGCCGCGAGAAAGAGCCAAATGCAGCAGTGCGTCGCCTTCCTTGTCCCGGGCGTCGATGATCGGCACCAGATGATGTTTTTCATCGGCGATACGAAGCAATCCAGTCGCACGGGAATCATCGATGTAACTCTGCGGCGCAAACATCCTTTGCAGCGCATTGGATCCCGTCGCGTTGACTATCCTCGGATCCGCGCCATTCGTCAGAAGCAGTTCGGCCACTTCTGTTTGGTTATTTTTCACGGCCACGTGAAGCGGCGAATCGCCCGATCTGCGCTCGATACAGTCGAGATCGTGGCCGAGCTCGATGAATCTCTCGACGACCTGCACGCAGTCGGACATGCAGGCCACGTGCAGGTGAGTGAGGTTAAACTCGTCGGCGTGGTTCACGACGAAATTGTCGTAAATTTTAAAGAGCTCGCGAAGCAAGCTATAATTTTTGTAATTGGCGGGGCGTCTAGCCGCGCGATGCAACGGCGTGGTGCGATGTCGCGAGGATGACGACTCGCCGGGCTCGTCTTTGTAGCCGGTCTTGATTACGAACTTGACGAGTGGAACTAGATTATTGTAGTAATCATCATTCGTCTGCACGGACCCGATGGTCTCCGAGAGAAGCAAGTCGATATCCTCGGTTCGAAAGATATCTCGGAGATCCGGAAGTTGGCCTTTCCATTTTCTGATCAATGGATAAAGTTCGTGAAGAAATTTTCGTCGCTCTGGTTTGTACTCCCAATTGACACTGCCTCGCAAAATTTTCAATTTTTTCAAGCACTCTTGGTCGTTTTCAGCCATACTGCTACATACGCACTCGCGCACCGATAAAACAAATTACGAAATTCAAATTTTTTTTCTCTTTCACAAAAATAACTCTCCACACGGTCCGAGCGATCTTACTCTGACTACACGTGTTATTACACTGCGCCGTATTACTATACCTGCGTGAGTAACACGTTGGCCGAACTAAAAAAGTACAGTAGTCAAAGCGGTTAGAAAGTTGCGCGCGCATCACGGTCCGCGACGGTCAGAAAAAAAATATTTGAATTTTTTATTCTCGCTCGCGTTTAGCCGTTCATAAGTTTTTTTTTGTAAATTATTATAATTTTATATTACAAATTTTATTGTAAATAGATACAAATGCGTGCTCAGCAAGACTTTTTAATTTGTACATATTTTTGAAGTAGTTCAGGCGCCCATGTTGCCAAAAACTCATTCCGATTATAAGATTAAACCATGCTTCGACTTATACGATTAATTTTACTTTGTCACTTGCAGATTTAAAGATAATGGCACGTCGCCATCTGGTGTCAGAGGTTGCCTTTAAGTACGGTTATATTTTAGTACATTTTTCGTTAATGGAAGGATAAAATTGAAACTCAAGTAGCATAATAATTTTATTTTTTGCTTCCTCATCGAGGAAGCTCGGTGATGGGTCCAACATTTACTTTTGTGTCTCGTAAATTTTGATTACAAATTTGTAAACTATACAGAATTTCTGAATGATGTAAGTGTGTATGTAGAATAAGTTTTTTCGAAAACGGGACGGTAAATCTTACTGAAATAATCTTATATCAATCTGTTTAATATTTCAAAACTTATTACGATTTTTCACATTTTTTTTACTAACAGTCGCAATGTCTTTATAACATTTTTTAGCATTAATTTTGAAAAATGAGCAGCTAAGCTTTAATTCAAGATCAAAAACGTTAGGATTCATAGATTATTTTAAAAATTGTATCGTGAAGAAGAAATCTCAGTTTTTTTTTTCACAGGGTTTAAAATTATGAACAATCAGTATCTTTCAAAAAGAAATTTACGATTTTTAAAAATAATTTATTTATCGGCATGCGAAGCGCATAGTGTTAGAGATAGGATGAATAAAATATTTCATAAGTTAGTTCAATAGAACAGTAAAAAGAGCCTGTTGTAGAGCTTTCTTGCGTACATCACTGCAAAAGAGTCTCGACGTATTATAACGCTTTATTCCCCGCAATTGATTTATTTCATATTTTATTAGTTTCACAAATGATTATTCAAAATTTGTACCCAGAGAGTTTGAATAATTTTTATACATTGAATACTAAGAGAATTTTTTTATAAAAAATTTACAGGGGTGAAATTAAAATGTAAAAAGATCGCTGGTCATCAATTCTTATGTAAATAAAGTACACCGATAAATCGCTTTAAAATGTCAACTCAATTATCATTACGCACTGCACGATTGCGTATAGAAACAATTATATGTCGAGTTAACCACGAAAACAATGAGTCCTCGTTTACATCGTTACATCGGAATCGTCGCGCATTCGCAGCTCGCATTCAAATAATCGCGAACGCATTGAAAAAAAAAAAAAAAACATAATGTTTCAAAAATGCGTTTATTATTGAGTAATATTTCGCGAGCGATAGTATCGACGTACACGTACATATATCGCTCGCTCGTCGCGATAGATAGATAGACCTTATATGTCTCTATTTACCTTTCTTCCTTTATACATCTTCGTACAATATCGCTTTTTGGAGTTTACGCGCAGCTATTCACACACACAAGTATATGTATCTCATCCACGTGTGTGTGTGCGTGTGTATGTGTGTGTATATAGAATATTATATAGAAGACACGCGGCAATTCGTAGCTCGAGGGCTCGACGACGAAGACGTCCGTTCGCGCGCGCGCGCGACGCGATACACATACACCGACGTGTGTGCAGTGCACAATGGTCGACTGTTACTATTACGAAGGACATTGTCGCGCGCCTCGTCGATGTATATATATATATTGGCCTATATATGTAAATGTGTGTATGTGTGTACGTACGCGTCCGTCTTCTTCGATAACCAATATCTAACTCGAATAAAAAATAAAAAGAAAGAAAGAACTATATCGCGAATATTCTCACACGTGCTCGCCTCGAGATTTCCCTTTATTTCTGACTTCCTCTCTACACTGCTGCTGTCCATCAAAACTTGTATCAATATACCCACTTTTCTTCGCTGAGATAAAAACGAGATGTTTTGTACGCGCGAGGATATTTTTTTCTTCTCTTTCTTTCTTTCTCGCGTCCTCCCCCAAAAAAAAAAGAACGAGCTAGAGATCTATATTATGGTATGGCGTAGGTGTGTGGGTGTATGCATACACAGATACGCACGTATAGATATGAACTTGGCATGCATTGCATGTCAAAAGAGGTCATGCCTCGAATACGAAGCTTTATACAGTAGCAGCAGTAGCAGCAGCAGCACACAAATATATGTATGTATATAAAGGGAAAGGCGTGAATCAAAACGGAAAAGGACTGATCCGATCGATTGTGTAAAAGGGCACACACACACGCATACACACGAATACAAAAAAGAGCCCCGTACCTATTGACGAGCTCTTCTATATATACTATGCATACAGTATATAGTATACGAGAGAACGTGTCAACGATTTCGCCCAAAGCCAACGCACCACCACCCACTGAATACATACACACACACACACACACACACACACAAACGTCATATTATTATTTGGCATGCAAAAGCAAATGCTCTATCTGTGTTATTTCGTTTTCGTATACATATATATATAATAATATATAATACACAACACGCGTCGCGCGCACAAGTGAAAAGTTATTATTCGCTCCATTGTGAGGCATTAACGAGGCGCTTATATTGCATTTATACGGACTACTACTACCACCACCACCACCACTATTGCTGCTGCTGCTTCTGTATACACGGATGAAAAGATGTGTAATCATGAGCGAGCGCATTGGGCGCGCATTTGACATTTGTTTTGCTTTATGCGCGGCGCCGCAGGGAATTAAATTTCGTCAATTTAGATTTCCATCGGTTGGCTGCTGCTGCTGCTATACCCCCTTATCTATAAATACTTTTATTTCTTTTTCTACTTTTTTTTATTTCTTTCGTTTTTTTTTCTCCGAGAGAGATAAGATCAAACGCGATTCATAATCAATTCCGCGTGCTTTGTCGGGCTTTGATACAAATTACTTGTACGCAAGTAACTGCATACGAGCACGCGCCCAAAGGGGGGTCACCAAAAAAGGCCGCGCACACGCAAAGATATATATACACAGAGCGGGTAAAGGATTTGGATATTATTGAGAGCCAGCGCGGCGGCATAATCCACTCGATGACCGACCGGCAGTTCGGGGTAGTTCGACGGTAAAAAAAGAAAAAAAAAAGCAAAAGCTCAGCTCTCTCTTCTCGCTCGCGCGTGTCCTCTCAGCTTTCTTCTTTTGCGCACACATACACACGCGCGCGCGGGGGCCTTTTGTGCAGCCGCTTTTGTCGGACTAATACGATCCAATTCAGGACTTTCCTTTTGCCGCCTTTTCTTCCGCGTATATACTGTATACTATACTACACAATCATATAGTGGCTATCAGAATTCTTAAATCCTGTTTTACTCTCGTCATTGTCCGTGCGGACGAGAGAGCTTTTTTACGCGTTCTCTTTCTCTCTCTCTCTCTCTTGCTTCGCTTTTGAAAGCTGTACCCGCGTGAGCTCTGCTGCTGTTTTTTTTTGTAATCGCGAAGTGAAATAAAAAAAAAGAAGATGGGTAACGAGTTTCGTTTGCGGATCGATACTCGCTGGGGTTGTTCCGACGATGCGGAGCTTTTCGATTGAAGATATACTTGCGAGTTAATATTTGCTTTACCTTGTCTTGAGCAAGAGTTTCTGTATTATCGACGTAGAATACGATCGTTCAACACGGTATATTATACTCTTATTTAAAACATTTTCAACACGAACGAGATTTGTTTGAAATATCGAAGATATTTTTACAGTTATTGAAGATTCAAAGTTGTAACTGTTTATCATCTGGTCGATTTGCAGAGCTGTCGATTTTATATACCTTACCATGATAATTTGGTGAAATAGAGACTCCTATAACATCTTGCTTTTGAATCAAGTTTATAGCGTTTATTATTCTGATCTTTTCCTTTTTTGAATATTTGTCAATTTCATCCTTGTTTTATTTTATTTATTTATTTTTTCGGATAAATTAAAATCTTTTTCTTGTTGAATCTCACTTACCACTTCAAAGAAAACAGCCCATAAATGCAGATATTCATTGATCTCTTTTTTAAGGAAACGATTTTTCAATGATAAATCTACATTAGTTTCCGTCATTTAAGATATGTGGCATTTCACGTCAACTCTCCCAGTGTCGCGCGGCGCGGCAGAATCAAGTCAAATAAGTAAATTTGTGAATCACTGTAAAAGTACTAAAATGCACTTAGAGAAAAAAACGAATACATGATTTCGATGAGAAATTGCCTCGGCTTTCCGATGGTGAGGTCAGATTTTCTGAAATTTTCCGCTTTACCCGGGAAAATCGATGGGAAAACTTTAAAGTCGATTATCTCAAAAACTTCATTTTTAAGATTTTTTCAATAGTCTAGATCGAAATGTCACGAAAATTTTTTTTGCATGCCCAGCTGCCCGCGCGCGCGAAAATGCCACGTTTTTTCTTCTTTTTCTCGCTATATCACACTAAAATCAAAAAACGCCTCTCTCGAAAATGTCTAAATAGATGGGAAAATTTCCTGATCTTTCGATCTGGACTATTTAAAAAAATCTTAAAAATGAAGTTTTTGAAATAATCGACTTTAAAGTTTTTCCATCGATTTTCCCGGGTAAAGCGGAAAATTTTGGAAAATCTGACCTCACCATCGGAAAGCCGAGGCAATTTCCCATCGAAATTATGTGTTCGTTTTTTTCTCCAGGTGTATTTTAGTACTTTTACAGCGATTTACAAATTTAGTGATTTGACTTAATTCTGCCGCGCCGCGCAGCACTGGGAGAGTTGACGTGAAGCGTCAAAGGACTCCAGTATATCATTTAGTGTATTTAAAATGTTTCTAATGTTACTAATCTTTACCTATTCTGTAGTGGGTTTGTCAAAATGGGTCTACGAGGCATCTAGCGGCGAAAATTGATACTCGGTAATAAATGCAACGAGTATTACACGCAGTAACATATATATTATAAATTAAAGTTGATAGATGATCAAATTAAAATACTTATTGTTATTAATAATTATTGCGATACGTGAAGAATACAAGTAGTAAGATTAACTCCAAGTACGATTATCATGAGCAACAAAATTAAAGTTTTACTAAATTATAGGAACATTCTATAAATCGTATACAATCTTTATTGATCGTCAGCAAACTTTTACATGAAAAACTATATTCAAGTTCAATTTCTTCTTTATTTGCCTATACAAAATAACTCTTCCGAAGCGAAATCGTCAACAATTTCCGACTCTGAAAATAGAATTTTGCTATTACCACGCAAAGAGTTTTTTTAACAATTATTGGTTTAAAAAAACCACTATAAAATATACTTCGGTCGAAAAATGAATTGAGTAAAAATAGATTCAAATATCTTACGATATTAATTCTCGAGTGCGAAATTGAAAAAAGATATGAAGTCGCTCTCGCAATCTATGCAATGATTCTTGCCAAAAAAGATGGAACTCTCTACAACATTAAAAAAAGAGTTTTTGTATGTATCTGTTTTATCAACACCTATGCGACAAAAACTTTCTCAATTTCAGCAAATCATCGTAATTTCTCTGGAAAATCGTATCGTAATCCATGATAATGAAGGGAGCTTTTCTTTCAGCGATTTATTTCCATTAATGAGCTTCGAGTCATTGCACCTTACCCAATCGTTTGATATCATAAGGCTCAGTGATGAAGGTCTTCGTGGGAAACTGATGCGTTTTGACGCATCGATCACATGGATACAATTATAGACTACAAGTTAGTATAATGAAATCTGCTGTCACCTGTTATCTCATCCGATATTATGCATTTTTTTAATGACAGTTTTCTGTTTCATTGTAGTTCAATAGCTTCAAAGATTGCAAAAAATCCCTTACAATCCAAAAGTGTGAACACAGACTATTAAATCATCGTCAAATTAATAACTTATTTATATAATAAATTTAAAAAAAATAATTGAAATTATTATGCAGCACTTTCAGCAATTCAGAGTAAGTATAACAATGTTATACTCTTATACTATAACATAGTCCCCATATGATGATATTGTTAATTAAACATAATGGTTTTCCATTTTTTCACTTTGGCTCGATTATTTTTGTATAGATCGTCATTAGCCTCATCTTGATGTCTTCTTCGCAATTCACATTTCCTACCCAAGCAACAAAAGAATTGACGATGAAAACGTTTTAAACTTTTTGAGCCTTTCAGAATTGGAATTTCTGTTTTGAAACTTTTGGTGTTTCAGCGAAGATCCATCTCAGATAATTACATAAACTGATGCAAAAATGTTCAGCCGGTAACTCAGAGTAATTTGAATATTTAACTGTTTCTTCGTAGTGTCTGATGTGTCAAAATTTGTCATTAAAAATTAAAACAGGTAAAATAAAGAAAAAGAATATAAATGAAACGGTTTATTCGCACAAACGTACAGTGTAGCGTTGGTAAAAATATATTAACTTATAATACTATGGTCAATTTTCAATTTATCATAAGCTTTTTTGTATTATTAAAAACTCAAACGAATCTTATTCAGCACAAATGGATGTGCACGCTCGCGAAGCGACAGCGACTTTTTAGCGTGAAACTTGAGACTCGTGAAATTGATGATGTGTGTACGTACGTCAGATTTTTCGATGAATCGAAATTGTGCATCGGAATACCTTTCGACAGACGGACAAAAAAAAAAAAGTTTTTTCTCTTTTTACATTACATCAGCGTCATACACATCGATTCGACCGAGATCGAGATAGACAATTGGTACGCACGATATATAAAATCGAATCAAACGAATCAAACGAATAAATAAATAGTACAACTAACGTGACTAATGGTAATGTAATCGAGAGCAAATATTATTTATATATGTGTGACATTGATGCGTATGTATGCGTGCTCGGCTTCAGCCGCTCTTGTCTTGTTCTCCTTTGGCTTTCTCCGCCGCCGCCGCAGACGAGGAGGAAGAAGAAGAGGGTATCGCACCGACCAGCTCTATGTTACACGAGCAGACTCCATTGCTGCACGACGCTATCAAGTTGCGATTCTCGAACGTCTGCTTGAAGATCTCCGACATCTCTTGGCATGTGCTTTTGAAGTCGTCGCTGCATTCCGACAGCTCGCTGCACGTCTCTGCGCATACGGAAAAAATAATGAAAACTAAATTTTCTCGAAGTTTCTTATATACGAGATCGATTGATTTTTCAAAACAAATCACGACGTAAAAGTGATATATAAGCGTCCACTTGACTCTTTAATCGGTATATCGCGATCTTTATACGTCGACGAGACAATGTATAATGTGGGACATGTTTGACTCGTGTACATAATATAATAATAACAAGCACTCGAGATGAGATTATCCGATATATATTCGACGCGATTAATTATTATTATATATAATAAAAAACTCACCGAGAGCCGCCGAAATCGACGCCACCGCCAGGGCGAAAATAAACAACAAACCGCACAGACCTCGCATCGCTGCACGTACTGCAAAAAACTCTGAAACTCGCCGGTTCAGAAACTGACCGCCTGCTTCCGCGCACAATTATATATAGCTCGTATAGTGCTGCACAACCGACGACGGACGGATCTGCTGTGATGCTGCTGTGTGCGTGTGTGCTCGTGTCTCGACGCTCGGCCTGCAACTGCATGCCGATCCGTCATGTTGTCACATTTCTTATCCGCGCGAGCGTGTTTTATATTTAAAGTAAGGGAAGTGTCTCTCTCTCTCTCTCTCTCTGTCTCGTTCTTTCGTGCATTCGGCGCTGCTGCTGCTTTTCCATGTGGATGATAAGGTGGCAATCTGGCCGCGGGTCTGTTTACACGACCCTTTGCAATCGACACGTTCATTAATACATAGTTTATATTTTATAACTTCTCTCGTTCGCTTTTCATTCATATACATTATGCACGATTCGAAAAAGGAGATCATTTGCGTCGACGCTCTCGACGTTATCAGCTTTGTATATATTTTTGCTACCTCGCCATTATACGTAACTTGGACGATTATCAATTAACTTTTTTTTTTCTTCTATTTCGAACGAGGCGCTGCTCGTCGAGCGATGAAACTTTACAAAAACGCCTAGCGCATAACAATGATACATATCCTCTCGGCTCGAGCGCGTACGCGTAATTGTCAACGTCGAGCAAGCGAGATCGCTGCATTATCGACTTTGGGGGATTGCCGGCACAGTGTCGACGTTATTCAACAGATAGTAGCACAATGCCAATTGCCGTCGGGATGAAAAGATTTTCCCGTTGTCTCGATTCAGCAAAATTTCCTATTGATGTATACTTTTAGTCGGAGGCTAACGTAACTTTTCGCCGCGCGGTGAAATGAAAATATATATTGTATCAAACTTTTCCTATGACACGCCCGAGAGCACAAAGTTTGCTCGTTTTTCGTTTTTTGGAGCACTTTCCATGATTTTAAAAGAGACGGATGAGTTTCGGAAAACGAGATATTTAAAAATAAGATTTTCAGCGCTCGCATCGATATACAATACATAAGAGCGTCCACGGTTATATAAACGCTCTACCGTAATGCCGTACGCGCGATCGCGAGGCCCGTCTCAATTAAAAGTTGCCCCGGCTATATATATATCATAAGCGCGCGCAGACAATATAACGATGGTAATAATAATTCCTCCACTGGCGGCTCTCGTGTAAGCTTCCCCCTGCTGTATAATAATATTATTATAATACACGGCAACAGCGGCAGCTACGCAGTCATTTTTCACCTCTCGGTGCACTTAATTGGTTCATTAAATTAATTAAATTCTCGGCGTTTTAGTGTTTCGCGCTCGTCGATTTCGCGTCGACCAGTAGTAGTAGTAGTAGCAGTAGAAACAGTTGTTGCGATTGTCGATTGTGCGTCGTTGTTGCTGCCGTGCGCGCGGGACTAGAGTAAAAAAAAAAAAAAATGAAAGGAAAAAGGAAATGAAAAAGTGAGAAAAAATAACAGAGGTGAGAAATACGCTGCCGCTCGACTGAATTATACGTACAATCGAGCCGATACTACACTGGAAAAGCCAAAAATGTTCGCTGGGGAGGACGCAAATCAAATCGTGCGCTGCTGTATATACTACGCGCGTTTTCGGGGCCGGGGAGGTTGATATAATTAATAATCGGTTATTGCATCGCGCGTTTAATAACGAACGCAGCTGGCTGCAGTGTGTATGGTTTTTGTATCAATTATAACGTCGTGGTGCAGAACAAAGAGAGCGTAATTTTTCGCACACGTTCGCGGTGCACCACCACCACCGCCACTTTTTTTTGTGCGCCTTCGAGCTTCGTTTAATCGCAATCGCATTGTTCGAATTGGTAGATAATTTTTGGACTCGTTTCGCTTTCGAATATAAGGAATCAATGGTAATACGCGTTTGTATGTATGTGACAAGAGAATATCGCTATATATATATATATCATAATAATAATGATAAGCTCGCTCGACTGGTATTACCAAATATCGCTGTTTGTTCAGCCGCAAGCACGAGGAGCTTCTCTCTCTCTCTCTCTCTTTTCATAAAGACTCGAGACTCTCGAGCGAGAAGCAGCAGCAGCAGCATCGATGCATTTATGCATGACGCGCGCATGGAATCGAGAAATAATATTTTTATATCCTCGCGATATACGCAAATTTTGCGCCCGCGAAAACCTGCTTTTATTATTATTGTTATTATATATATCGCGCGGAGAGCTTCTTCTTCGGCGCTTTTCTTTTGCAGCAGCAGCGAGTCTCTCTCTCGCTTTTGTGCCAACGACAAAAGAGCAATAGCAGTAGCAGCAGCGCATTGCGCGGGGGAGGAGGAGGAGGAGGACGAAATGAGGGAGTCAAGATGGCGCGCGCGAGCGACCCGGAGATCACATTGTATTGTTGTGTTCTCTCTCGCGAATCTGCCGAGAGAGAGAGAGGGACGAAATGAAGCCGATTGTTCGACCAGGGTGGCGTCATTATGAGCGCCTATTCAAAAAGTCATACAACGCCAAAATGAGCTACGCCGCGCGCGCGCATTCGAGACTTCGTCTTCTCCTTTTAGCTGCTGTTGCTGCTTGGCCCTTTTATCTATTGTGTATCCTCTATATACGATACTTTTGATTTTCATCTCTTCGAAAGCAGCCTTTTTACATCGCTTGAATGGTTTGTGTTCGTGTGTATGTGTGAGCAAAAGAGATTAATCACGTATATAGTTATTTCGTCTCATTATTGCGCTACTACAGAAAAATGGAAAATTGTGCTAAACTTGACCGCAGGGTTATATTTTCATCTTTCGTAATAAAAACTAATTGATGTAGGTTATTAGGTTTAAGTTAAAAATAAAAAAAAACAGCTGAGTTCTTACAAGTGATTCTATTGGTAAAAATCTACTTTACTAGGCTTGTATGTAAAATCAGATGTTAAGAAGTTATAGTAACCGATTCTGAATTTTATTTAAGGTAATTTTACATGGAATCTTAGTCAAAAATTAGTGTATCTGTGCTGATTTATTATCATTATTAATATAATTATTTTTTTTTTTACATCAACTATAGAAAAAAAACGCAAGCTTATGAAATAACATACATGAAGTTTGAAGAATTTACAAATTATGATTAACAATTAACATTTTAATACAGATTTATTGTTCGTGACAATTGCTCATGGTATTCATCGAAACGTCAGTAAAACCAACGTCCACCACTAGGTGGCGAGCGTACCTTTATCTGTAAATCTGCAAGTGGCAAAGTCAAAATAATTGTATAAGAATAAGCACGGTTCTCGTGAAGCTCTAACCATGTACTTTCTTAAAGGGAATATTGTCGTGGATGTCTAAAGATCGAGAAATCAGAAAAAATTGACCTAGCTCCCAAGTAAAATATGAAAAATCGTAGGCTTCCCTGCGTCAACGTTAGCTCTCGGCTACGGTCGTGTAATAATAGTCTTTGACAACCGGACACGTACACGCGCGTCGAAGATTCAATCGCACGCTCCCCGCGCTCGATACGATCGGCTACACTCAACCAGAAACTCGTTGAGTTTTTTTTTGTCGAATCCTCGAGTGTCTCACGTTATACTTTTTCGTGCATAAGCCAAAGATGAACCCGCTAAAGTCTACCGCGATTTTTATAATGGGCCCACTCGAGTGAGCATACATACTAGTATAAGTAGTAGTACTCGCCTCGATGAGGCTCGCTCGCGCGCGCTTAGCTTACCCCATAAATGTAACAAATCTTGGGCAAACATTGTCTCGTGCACACACGGCTACGTACTTTATTACACAAATCTCATGTCGATTTTCTATCTCTCTCTCTCTCATTTGCGATCGAGGAAGAATATAAATATATATAATTTATACGTGTGCGTGTGTGCGCGTTACGTATAAGTACATATATATCCGTATATATTATATATAAATTCGGGCCGAAATAGCCCCGGACACGAGAACGTTATGCTACAACAACAACAACGGAGGACCCATTTTCACCCCGTTTGCGACAAGACTACGGACATGTTTACGAGCTTGGATTTATAACCGATCGCTTCACGCTTCACTTGTCGTACAATACGTACCGGTGGAACAGAGAGAGCCACCCTTGTGTTTCAATGTATAAGCGTATAATACCTATCGATGGCAGAGAGCAAAGCAAAGCAAAGCAAAGCAAAAAGAAGTACATATATACAACAGCGCCGAGCCCCCCGTGGCAGAGCGAGAGAGTCGATTTCTAACTCGAATCGTGAATTGCCTGCCAATGTGCTGCGTGTGTCGCGCGAGTCCGGATAAATGTTTTTCTGTTTTTTTTTTTTTTTTTTGCTCAGCTTTGCCTATGTATACGTTGCGTAACGAACGCTGCCGGGCTGCTGCAGGTATTTTACGGATAATATACGAGATCGCTTTTATTTCCTTTATTTCGTATACATATTTATGTGCGTTATATATATATACGCGCCCGGGAATGAGCCTGATATGTATATGACTCGATTGTTGTGAAATTTTTTTCTTCGTTAGCGGCTCAGCTATGGCAGGTGAGTGGTTTCACACAGACTGGGCGAAGGAAAATATCCTCATTAACTTATACAATTATTTCAACTTTGTCACTTGCAGATTTACAGTTAAAGCAACTCGCCATCTGGTGGTAAAATTTAGATTTAATTGTGATTGAATTAGCATTTCTTATGGAAAAATGTTTTAAGTCCGCAATATAGATCTCTGAAAATCATTGGACACGATTTTTTTTGATTTTTCAATAAACTGATTATTAACGGAGGTATCATCATTTGAACATGGGCATGACATCACAATAATAGTATTCTTCCTGTTGTTTTTACTACAATAATTATGACATCAGGCTCATTGTTTCAAATGCCATATCGAAAAAATATATGTCTAATGATTTTCAGATATCTATATTGCGGACCTAATAGATTTTTTGATGAGAAATGCGAATTTTCATAAATTTTCTGAGCAATCAACGCAGAAAAAACATCAAATTTCAAGCATTAATTTTCAATCAAATGATAACGTTTTATTGCAAAAAGGAATGTACATTTGCCCTAAAATCAATGTGCGTAATTATGTAAAATAAGTAAATCTGCGATAATACATTATTTTTCAACTAAGATTTCAAGTAAAAGTACCTCGATCAAAACCAACGTCCACCGCTAGGT